TGCATTCCCTTAAGAAAGGGGCTGAGGCTGTGGCCAGCCTGCTGTACACCCCACACCACCAGATGGCACATGGCTGCAAAGCAGGGTCCCCACCCTTTCTTGAAAATTCATTCAATCTGATAAGAACAGCTTCCAGTTACGAAATATGAAATGTGGCAACATACACTACCACCTAGATTAAGCCACAGAACAGTATACAAAGGTATTCACACCTCTTCTAATTGGTAATTTATTTTTCATGTGTTTCATCTTCCTAATTTCTAGAAAAAGGATTTCCATGCAAAAGGTCACAGAAGTGAAAAATAAAGGACTGAGAAGAAATCCTTAAAATTGTAATTGGAACCTACACCACGTGTCAGTTAACCAATGGATACTTGTAAATTCCTTCATTCAAATGCATGAGAGTTGGGGAGGCAAAAATCCTCACTTTGTGTGAAGAGAAAACACTGAGGTTTGCTTTACATACTGCTCAGACCCTCATCTCCTTTCTCATGAAGTCACCACGTGCTTGTTTGTGATAAAATGCTATCAGCACAGTGGCACCTTCTCTGCGCATTGATGAGCTCTGAGGAAATGAGGCACTTTAAATCTGTCTGCTCAAGTCCTTTCTTCCAGGTCGCCTGGCCTCTCATGGCCCTGTAATTGACACTGTGACAGCTACGGCTTAAGGTGCACTGGTTTTGCAGACCCATGTAATGTTCCCAGTAGTCCTGTGAGGCTGGGACTATTATCACACCTATTTTTCAAATGAGAAAACTGGGACCCAAAAAGGAGAACATATCCAGGTAAGAGGAGGGCTGAGCTCAAACTTGGTGTTTGGTGCTTGAGCCTGGCTCATGACGTCAAAGAGGCGACAGGGTCACGTCTTTCTTTATAGCAGGCCTCTTTCCGCTGATGAGTGGTGATCTGACTTCTTGGGATGACACTTTGGTTTCATCTAGAATTCTTACTCTTAGTACTGTGACAAAAAACAAACAGGGCTAGTTTCCTACACCTGAAAAATGTGAGATTTGTGCCCTGAGCAGTACATGCTACAAGGTGCAGAGGGAAAAAACCAAATTGATGATGGTATTAAGTTCTTAGATACTACACTGCCACCAAGCCTGGGCTTGTTTCTAGGAGGACTGACTCAGGGCCCAGGAAGAGAAAGGGACATGGGAAAAGCACTTTAGGAGGCTCTTTTTAGCATGTTAGGAAATAACTGCTGTGAATATCCTAGTTTGGCCTTACACAAGACCCCACGTGGCTGTGTTTTAAAAGTTGTCCTTCTAAGATACTGAACCAAATGCCATTCAGCATCTATCATAGACTTAAAGCCTTCAAGTAACATTATTTCCCCATTTTTAAAACCATGAAGTTGGCTTCTGAATAAAGACTGTCATAAGCAACCTATGTACTCCATATTTGTAAGAAATCTAGAATCAAAACTGTTAATTAAGATTGTCTACATTTTAATTAAACCATTACAGTTCAAGAAAATGGCTTATATTATCCAAAGATACCTTCAAGTGGAGAATCTTGACTTTTATCTTTGTGAGACATTAGAAACACATACCATGTAATAACAGGAATGCCAACACATAGATAGTTAACTCGTAAGTACGAAGGGTCAACAACCTCACTGGTCACACTCAGAAACAGCAATGTCCACAGCAATCACTTGTATCATACAGATTAATGGACCATGTGCCCATTAATGTCACAGTAACTGAGAACCATACCCAAGAGTTTTAGGTTTTGTTTGTTATGGTTTCATTTTGAGAACTACAATTCACCTTCTTCCTCTGCTACACAGAGAATGAGTTTTTCCTAAGGTCATTTCTCAAAAGCTCACTCATTATGAACAATTTTGGGAAGCCTTCAACAAGCTATAAAAGTATAAGCAGATTAATGATGAAGCCCTCCTCCTTTATCAGAAAGAGTTCATGCTCGCAACTTTAAATTGGTCTCTTTCCTCAAAAAGGTTTCCATGTACATGTGGTAATTCTGTGTGTGTGCGTGTGTGTGTGTGTGTGTGAGAGAGAGAGAGAGAGAGAGAGAGAGAGAGCGCAGCCCAGGAACCATGCTGCAGGGGAAAGAGAGGGAGAGGGAGAGGGAGAGGGAAAGAAGCCCAGAAGATAGAACCATGCTGCAGAAAGGTCAGGAGCTAAAGAGAGCTTGCTCAGATCAGCAAGAGAAGTAAATAAGAGAAGAGAAAAAAGTGTAGGTTTAATTACTACAATGCAGTTATAGATAAAGAATCTCAGATATCTAAGTAATCAGAGATTTTAATAGTATATTGAGCTATTGAACAATTAAAAATTATAAATTTATAAATTATAATTCATAAATTCTCTGGACTAATTCTGGTTTTAAACCAAAAGATCGAGCTAGTGATTAAAATCTCTGCTTCATTCATGATCTTAAAAAAAAGAAAGAAAGAAATCAGGTCATGATATGTGTTGAATGGATTTGTGCACCTTTTAAAAAAAAGAAGAAAAAAACTTCCCAAATTGTACCAAGAACCATATTGCAATCTTTGAAGACAGAAATGGCCTCAGGGCAGATATTTATATTTTTGACAACAGAGAGAGCAATACAACGTAAGCACATTTTGTAGTTTGAAGTACAAGCTAAGCACTTCCATACTAGCGGAAATGAAAAGTGTAGCACACACTGATAAATGGAGGGCACGTGCTCGGGAAGGAGTTACACTTGTACGAAGATTACTTTCTTTTGAGAAGAGGTCTTGCTCTGTCACCCAGACTGGAAGGCAAGGTTGCAATCATAGCTCACTGCAGCCTTGAACTCCTGGGCTTACGTGATTTTCCTGCCCCAATCTCCCAAAGCGTTGAGATTATGGGCTTGAACCACTGCGCTAGCCCCAAGATTACTTTAAACATTGTCAAAAACTGTACTTTGAGAAGTCACAGAACACTTTGCTTTATGTAATAAGATGTATCACTCACTGCCAAAACTGCAGCCCTGAGCAAAGTGACTATGTGCTTATAACATGTGCAGCCTAAAAGGCATGGCACAAAGAGGATGCCAGGGAAGGAGGAAGACAAATCGTCATACAATTTTCTTGAAAGGAGGTTGAGAAAGGATGCAGGTTCCTCTGTTTCTCTAAGGAGCTTCTGGCAGTCTATCTGTGAAGACTAACTCTCATCTTTCAATAAAAACAGATTATTGCTAGCCATGGTGACTCACGCTGGTGATCCCAGCACTTTGGGAGGCATAGGTGAGAGGACTGCCTGAGCCCAGGAGTTCAAGACCAGCCTGGGCAACTTGGCAATACCTCGTCTCTATAATAAATGAAAAAATTAGCTGGGTGTGGTGGCACATTCGTCCCAGCTACTTGGGAGGCTGAAGAGGGATGATCTTCTGAGCTCAGGAGGTCTGGGTTGTGGTAGGTGAGTGTGCCATTGCACTCCAGTCTGGGGAGACAGAGTGAGACTTCAACCCCAAAAAACAGACAAAAAACAGATTATTCCTCTTCCCTGGTGGGAAATAATGACATGGGGACATGCCTGAGCTATACAGAAAAGAAAGTAGAGAAAGGGGAGGTTGGCCCGGCAGTGTCAGAAACACAGAAGAGAACACAAAGGCCTAAGTACATCCTTTTGTTTTTTGAGTGGGGTCCTCCCTCCGTTGCCCAGGCTGGAGTGCTGTGGTCCAATCAAGACTCACCACAGCCTCAACCTCCTGTGCTCAGAAGATCCTCCTGCCTCAGTCTCCCAAGTAGCTGGGACTACAGGCATATGATACCATGCCTGGCTAATTTTATTTATTTTTTGTAGAGATAGGGTCTCACTATGTTGCCTAGGCTGGTCTTGAATTCCTGGGCTCAAGCAATCTTCCCATCTCAGCCTCCCAAAGTGCTGGGATTACAGGCATGAGCCACAATGCCCAGCTGGACGCATGTGAGAAAAAACAGAGAGAAGAACCAAGTACTGCATCCCTTGAATGCCTTTTGGTCATGCAAGGTGTGACTGAAGTCCTATACTTTGTGGACCTAATGGGATTGTTCTTGGGTTTGACCAAACTGCTGCTTTCTCAAACTCAATGTCATGATGTTAAACGTTTTATGAGTGTGTCCATATCCAGTCAGTCATGGGAAACTAGGAAAGCAATCCAATTTACCAGAAGTTCTTTAGATTGAACAAAAAGGATAAGTTGGACCAAGAGCCAGTTCCTTCCTTAGGGTAAGAAATAATACAGGATGTGCTTCCATTCAGAGTAAGCAGACTCTCTTTTCATGGTCAGATAAATATTGGGGTGATGACTAGATCAACTTTTATTTCTAAACCTCTCATTTCTTAGAAGTTTACACATACAACTGATATGGACATGCATGCATGAGGGAGACAGAGAAGAAATCAGGTTCCTTTCAGGATTCCTTTTGTGTCAGCAACCTTGCCCCTTGCTAGGGAAGGTGAGGGAGCAGCAGTGGCTGGAAGCAAGTTTCTGAGATAGGCCTTGTCCCTTTTCCACCAGAACTAGGGCTGTCACTGTGCCAAATACACCACTGCAATCCTATTTCTAGAGGCATCACATTTCAGGGAGCTTCATAAGAAGATGAAAAAGGTGAAAATACCACGTAAACAAGACAAACCCAATCCAAACTGACACATTTGTTTTTATGTCTATCATGTAAACTTGAAGTTTTCAAAGACTTTGAAGTCACCACGTTGGGAACAATTGCTGCTGAGAACATGAGTAGCATCTCTTTTAGGGCATGTACATACGTTCTCCCAAAGTAGGGTTTGTGGTCCCCCTTACCTGTCATGTTTGTTTTCTTGGGCGGCTCTTAAGAGCTCCTGTATGTTTTTGGTAATCTGTTCAGTCTTCCGGATGACATCTTCAGTGCTGGGGAGGGTGGGGCTTGGGGCCACATGAGGTTCTGCTGTGTCCGGTACTGAGCCATCACCTGGCCAAATCATACTTCTTTGCCTTCCCTTTCGGCTTGACCTGTGAACATTAAAGATGTGGCTAAATGCAGCAGGTGCTCATCAGCTGCTTCTATTTCTAGGAGCCACTTCATCTGCATTGACTGAATGCAAGAGCGGGCTGTTTTTACGTTTCCTTCATCTTGCCTAGGAGGAGACCCAACAGCAAGGCTCTGTTTCATCAACTGATGGTGACAACTCATGTGGACGCTGTTTCACTCTATTTTAGGGCTGGAGGTTATGACTCCCATAGAAAGGGTGAAGGAAGCCGGGCTCGGTGGCTCAGCCTGTAATCCCGTGCCTTGGGAGGCTGAGGTGAGTGGATTGCCTGAGCCCGCGGGTTCAAGACCCGCCCGGGCAACTTGGTAAGACCTCATCTCTACCAATAAATCAAAAATTATCTGGGTGTGATACCATGCACCTGTAGTTCTAGCTACTTGGAAGGCTGAGGCAGATGGATTGCTGGAGCCCAGCAGGTCGAGGCTGTGGTGGCCGGGAGTGGCCACTGCACTCCAGTCTGGGCAACAGAGTGAGACTCCAACTCAAAAAAAAAAAAAAAAAGCATTTTGAAGGAGAGAAATGGAAGGGAAATAACTGGGGTTGGGAAGGCTTGTGGTTATAAAGCCATCTCCAGTGGAGTCAATTTCTTGGGGGTACAAATGCATGGACTTTTTGGTTTTTTTTTTTGAGTTGGAGTCTCACTCTGTCACGCAGACTGGAGTGCAGTGGCCGCACCCGGCCACCGTAGCCTTGAGCCGCAGGGCTCCAGCGATCCTTCCGCCTCAGCATTCCAAGTAGCTGGAACTACAGGTGCGCGCTACCACGCCCGGCTGATTTTTTGATTTATTGTAGAGATGAGGTCTCGCCAAGTGGCCCAGGCGGGTCTCGAACCCACGGGCTCAGGCAGTCCACTCACCTCAGCTTCCTAAGGCGTGGGATTACAGGCTGAGCCACCGAGCCCAGCTTAAATGCATGAACTTAATGCTGAAGTGAAATACTAATTTTAAGTACACTGCATATACCTAGAGACACATATAACATACTGGTAAAAGGACTTTTGGCAATAATGTGAGATTGTCAATAAGACATGTAGACTATGAACGCATGCTTGAGTATTTTAAGACCTTATGAGTCTAAAACTAGAGAAAAGGGATGCAGGTGAAGAGCTTCTGCTGGCCATGGCCTGCCAGATCTCTGGCATCTATAAGCCCACCCCAGCATGCTCTTCCTGCAGATGTACCCTGCGTCCTCTGGCTCCATGTCGTTGGGAGTGTTGTCGTAGTCACTCTCAGGTGTGCTGTTCTGCTTCTCCAGCCTGGATGCCTATAACAAAGAAAAAGGGACCCCCCCCCCCGTGAGTTTGGAACACCAGGTGCTTCTCAGGAGTCTTTCCCAGGAATCGTTACCTGTTAGCTACTGGCCTTCACACCCCAGATTTCATTTGGGACAGGAGCCACTCTTTGGTGAACATTTAGTAAAAGATGAGATGGGTTCTTTCCTTCTTTGCATAATCATCTTCTTAGCTCAGTGGCTACTCCATAAACAGATCCTTGGTACAAACTAACACAGACATGCAAGGCAACACACTCTCATTTAGTTCTCAAAGGAATATGGACTTTATAACACAATGAGACCTAGTTGAAAAAACAAACACACTAGTCCTGATATGACTACAGGCTACTAGCACTGGAAGTCACCTGCACATCATCTGGTTGAACACTAGATGAGAAAATAAAGGGCCAAAAACAGCTGGGTGACCCAACAAAGGTCACAGAGTCCACAGAAAAACAGGACCAAGCACCAGGTCTCTTGCTTCCTGCTCTCTCCGATATTCCACACCTGGGCTCTGTGACTGCCACTGCTCAAGACACTCTAAGAACTGACTCAAGAGATGGCTGTTATATAAACCACATGAAAAATCTGCATTATTTACAGCCTCACGCTGTTTGTGAGCCAAAATGGATTAATCCAGCATGGTACTTAGTTGTAAACTACTGTTATCTGTTTCCAAAAATATCTACCCCTTAAAATGTAAAAATCTGGTTCAACTGTGGAGATTCACAAATGGGATACAGATTCAAAAGAGAAATCCTAAAATGTTTTGAGCAAATGGCAACACTGATAAATTTGGGGCCTTCCAAGGTGGCAACCTTTGAAGGGGGCTATATTCCCTTGAAGGGGACTGTGCTCTGGAGAGTTCAATGAAAATTATTTTCCCTCCTCCATAACAGACATCACTGGAGGCTAATTCAAAACCTAAACTGATAGCTTTGTAAAATATTAAGTATGAGCTACTTCTAACTCTATACCTTGAATTTAAGCCAAGCTAACCAAAACACTAAAGAACTAGTGACCAGGGAATTTTATTGCTGCTATAATAAAATGGGGCTAAGGATATAGATGTAAACCAAGAGCCTTGTGGCTTCATCCAAAAGAAAGTCTACTTTTGAGTAACTCAGTTTAAGTCTACAAAGGCAGGATTGGTGGCTCATACCTATAATCCCATCACTTTGAGAGGCTGAGGTGGGAGAAGCCCAGGAGTTTAAGACCAGCCTGGGCAACAGAACATGACTTCATCTCTACAAAAAAATAAAAAATTCGCCAGGCATGGTGTCGTGTGCCTGTAGTCCCAGCTACTTGTGAGGCTGAGGCAGAAGGGTCACCTGAGCCCAGGAGGTCAAGGCTGCATTGCAGCCTCAGTAACAGAGTGAGACTTATCAGGAAAGAAAGGAAGGGAGGAAAGGGAGGAAGGGGAGGAAGGAAGAGAGGAAGAGAGAGAGAGAGAGAGAGAGAGAGAGAGAGAGAGAGAGAGAGGAGAGAAAGAAAAGAAAGGAAAGAAAGAAAGAGAAAGTCTAGTAAAGTCTACTTGCTTGCTCACTACTGAGGATCACTGCTGTTTAGCCATCTGGAGGCCCTAAGGTAATAGACAGGGAAGCCGGCCCCAAGGTGGAAGAGCTCCTTATTCACATTACATTTTGTGTCCTGTCCTGTGACCCTTCTGCTCTCTTTCTCGTCTGCTGGGGTCTTTCATATTTCCTCACATGCTCCTTCTAGTCCCTGGCCACTCTAATATAAGAAACTAGCTCTGGGCTCCAAAAACTCAGGATGAACTCGTTGTACTATACCCACTCCAATTCATCTGGCAAGTGACTCAAAGTGTTAGCTTGGAGCCACATGAGGAGTCTGTAAAGTTAAGTTCTGTAAAGTCAATTACAACTTTTATGATCCCTTTGTTCATACCTTCTACCAGTAAGTAGTTCTGCTTCACTTGCTGCCTTGTTTGGATCTGGCTTTATGAATCATCAGTGAATTTGGCTACTAGAAGCCTAGATAGAATAAATACCAAAGGTAGGCACTGTGGTCTTCTAGAGATTATCTCAGAAAATCAACCCAGACCAACACTTCTCATTTTTCACAGGGAAAGTCTGCTAACCTTTCATTTATTTTCCTTTAGTTTTTATATATGTGGCCACAAACAGATGTGTTTGTATGTGTGTATACATACAGACATGCATACACAAATGGATACAAACTTGCATTTAAATAATTATTCTGGAAAATTCATCCAGAATCAGTCCATTGGGAAAAAAAATCTAGAAAACAGAATTAAACCTAGAAAATTCTACACTTTTTTTGTGTGTGTGTGAGTTGGAGTCTCACTCTGTCACCCAGACTGGAGTGCAGTGGCCGCTCCCGGCCACCGCAGCCTCGACCTCGACCTGCTGGGCTCCGGCGATCCTTCCGCCTCAGACTTCAAAGTAGCTGGAACTACAGGCAGGTACTACCAGGCCAGCTAATTTTTGTTTTATTGTAGAGATGAGGTCTCCCTAAGTTGCCCAGGCTGGTCTCGAACCCACGGGCTCAGGCAATCCACTCACCTCAGCCTCCCAAGGCATGGGATTACAGGTGGAGTCACCGAGCCTGGCTTATATTTTTATAATGGATCTTTTTGCCTTGACGTAAATTTGACAATTAGAAATCAAAAATATTACCCACAGTGATCAAAAGTATCAAGTTTCATTTAAACATTTAAGTCATGACTCATATGTCTAATAAAAGCACTTGGGAAGTATTTATCAAGTATAGAAAACAATAAATAGCTGCAACCACCAAGGAAATCAATTACTTACGCGGTAAGTCCTGCATCGTTGTCAACAAAAGCATGTGTACAGGATTTCGATGTAGCCAGCATTTAATTTTGTAAAAAGTATTGTAAACATGCAGAGCCAAAAGCTATTGTTAAAAGTGCTGCTCTCTCAAAGCTGTTAATAGAAAAGTTACCTTATAGCTGGTGCTGGTTCAGTTTATTTAATAGATTTGCAGTTTTCTCTGAATACAGACATGCCATAAAACTCTAAACCCATGAAGCTGTTGGAAACAATCAGATTTATCAGTTTAAATGACTTAACTGTTTTTGTAAAAACGTTGTCTTAGCAAGCAGTCCTTGCAATAATTTTCAAGGCTACCAAAAAATTTATTTAAAAAAAAAAATTTCACAGTGGACAAAAGAAGCTTACTTGACTCTTACTAACAATATTTATTTATTTATTTTAGAGACGAGTTATCTCCAAGTTGCCCAGGCTGGTCTTAAACCCCTAGGCTCAGGCAATCCTCTCGCCTCAGCCTCCCCAAGTGCTGGGATTACAGGCGTGAGCCACCATGCCCCGCTACTAACAATACTCCAAATTAGGTATTGCATTACTGTTTAACTGTCCATTAGCTTAACTGGAATATTTTAATGCAAACATTACGGTTCAGTTTCAGAACTGCTCAGAAGATTTTAAGTACCATCCATTAAGAACTATTTTCAATAGACTACTTCAAAAGTACATCAAAGAATAAAAAGTAAAAGTCGGGCTCAGTGGCTCAGCCTGTAATCCCGTGCCTTTGGGAAGCTGAGGTGAGTGGATTGCCTGAGCCCGTGGGTTCGAGACCCGCCTGGGCAGCGAGACCTCATCTCTACAATAAATCAAAAAATCAGCTAGGCGTGGTAGCGTGCGCCTGTAATTCTGGCTACTTGGAAGGCTGAGGCGGAAGGATCGCCGGAGTCCAGCAGGTCGAGGCTGCGGTGGCCGGGAGCGGCCACTGCACTCCAGTCTGGGTGACACAGTGAGACTCCCACTCAAAAAAAAAAAGTACAGTAAAGAATCCTAAAAGAGCTGGGCGTGGTTGTACGCGCCTATAGGCCTGGCTACCTGGGAGGCTGAGGTGGATCACCTGAGCCCAGGAGTTCAAGGTTACAGTGAGTTACAATCACACCACTGCACCCCAGCCTAAGTGACAAAGCAGGACTCTGTCTCTAAAAAATAACAATCCCAAAAGGGCCTTTTGAGCCATATGCCACTGGCAGTGGGAAAGGAAGATTCTCTAACAGTCCTAGGTATTGAGGGAATGGTCAAAAGCTCAGTGCAGATCTCACCTCAGTTACACCTCCCTTCCATTAAATAAAAGACTGCACCAGAACTGGAAAGCAGGCCTTCAAAGCCTGCACCCTTTCCATGGCATTCTTAGGCTGCAGTCGTGTACTACTTTTTGTGCATGAAAGTATGCTTGCCTTGATGGTGCTTTTAGGAGCAGGGCCTGTGCCACCTAAGTTGTTAGGACCCTACGGAGGAAGTGCTTAATAAATACGTATTGCCTGGAGCTTACCTCAACACAGACTGCTACTGAAAATGGAAATTACACACCAGCAGGCTGGGTTTGACAACCAATACAAATGAACAGCTTTATAACAGCTGCCTGCATGGCTCCAATGCCACTAGATGTTACAATTCTGATTCAGGATGCAGGGACTGTAAAACCTTGGTTTGTCAAGTAGGGTGCTCATGTAAAATGTGTCACAGCTTTATTTTTAAAAATTGATGTTTTAGTACTTCTGTTAGTCCAAATTTAGCAGTAGCTTTGAACAAACGTAACCGATTGGCCCTATTACAATACTTAACCAGCAGCCAGCTAATTTTATGATTGTTTAAGAAGAGATCATGTTCAGAATAAATGCCACAGGGCGATTTGCAAACTGTTAAATATGTTGTGCAAATGAGTGCTGTGGAGTTAGACAGAAGAAGAGAGGCACCCCTCTACAGGTATGCATGCATGTGCGTGTGTGCATGTGCGCACCGTGTGCTGTGAGAAACCGGGAGGGAAGTACCATCTCATGCAGGATAGAAGGGCAGTTAGCGAGAGACGGAAGGGCCAGTGTTCAAGCACAGAGTGCCCAGGAGCACTGTCCCTCCTCCAGAGAGCAGATCATTCAGAATGTACTTAACCCCTCGGATGCTTTCATCCCTCGACCAGGAAAGTGTGGAGGGGAAGGAGGGCAGAGATGAAGAGGAGGTCACAAGCGCGTTCCTCCCAATCTGGAAGGGGAAAGAGAAACACACTCGGGAAAACACAAAACAAACAAAAAGTCCTACCACCTCACCTGGCCTCAGGAAAGAATCCTAGAAAACAATATACTGTGTGATGTGAATGCTGAATGATCAGTGACAGCCCATGATGACAGGTTCCCAGAGAGATTTAAACCCTTAGAGTGAAACACCTCCTGGAAATTACTCTGAATTTATTAAGGCTATTTTTTACAAAGAGAAAAGATAGTACCTAGCATAACTGTCAAATTGGCCAATTGTTTTTAAAAATGGATAGCCTAAAATGAATATTTGTTTTCAATCAGGACTGATAATATGAAATGAGAAACTACACAAATGACTTTAAGTTGGTATATGATATCAATCTAATTTTTAGTATAATTATATAGAGTTTTTACAATATTATGGCATCCTTACATTCTAAATTTTTCTAAAATAAAAAAGTACATTGTGAAAACCAACAAAGGTTGCTTTTCTTAAATTTTGTTTTCAGTGACACAAAAATATGATTTTTAACTTAGTTCAATGGCACTCTCATTACAGCAAATGTATCAAATAACTGCCTTAGAATGTTAAACCCAAACAACTTAAAAAGTTGAGATAACAGACTTCCAGTTACAATATAACAACATTGCAATTTTATCACACTAAAGTATGACAAGCATAAACTAAAGGATAGACCATATCCTTTATTTTACATTTACCTTGAGAATTTTTTTGAAACTCTCATAAAATTTAACTGAAGAATAACAACTTTGGACATTCAAAAAGATAAATACACCCTCTGAAAAAACATCACACAAAAGTTTAAAACATCTGTAACATTTTGGCAAAACACAGATTTTTTAAAATAATAAATTAATCCAGAAGAAATATAATATTTGAAAACCTCACGACACAAAACTTATCCCACTGCAAAATAAAACTGTTATAACTCTGCCACAGAACACAATCTTTGGAATTCACCACCAGTAAGACTGACATATTCCCTTTTCTTTTGAGAGACAACAAAGCCACACTTCCTCCATGAAGGGGAGGAGGAGGAGGATGCAGAAGCTAACCCAGCAGGCACACTGAGCACACAAGGAGAGGCCACGGAGGCCTGGAGCCTTCCAGAATTGTCTGGGTATACAGGCCACCGACTCGGTGCCACTGCTCAAGAAGGCACTGAAAAGAATCTTGGATTCTCAGGGCTTCAGTTCTTAAAGGGGCACATCCTGTCTACCCCAAATAAGACAATGCTTCCTTCTGCTAGTGATCTTTATGAGTTATTTTTGGAAGCGGGTAACTTTCACCAAAAAAAATTTCCAATACTGGTTGGCTGGGAAATAATGCTGTGAATACGGGGCAGGAAAAGGGGAGTGGGGCTCAAGCAAGAGCCAGAATCCCCAGCTTGGGTGAAAAACTATTGGCCTAGGCCCTGTGTGCTTATGGGAACATCGCAGACATCTCTGGACATGTTAATACAGCAAACACAATGGCGACTCTCTTAGCCCAATTTGGTAAAGCAGAGGTATGAGAATCTGCGGGCTTAGAAGAGGGAACACAGTAGTCAGGCTGCACAAAGAGTGAACAGCAGAAGCGCCAGCGGTATTACTTACGTGTGCGGGGAAGGGCTGAAGTCTCGTCCTGCTCTCTTCGGGGCCGCTTGCTTCTCCCATTGGGAGATATGGTTTCTGCCCTGATCCCGTCTCGTACATGGACATGGGCCTACTGCCCCGGGCAGACGGACGTCGCTTTAAGGAAGAGTGGTTGGAAGTGTCTGTGTACTCTGAACCAGTTTGCACCTGATATATATTGGTTGTGGCCTGTTTCCTGAGGTTCGAATTTTCACTCTGGAGTGTTTGAAGCTGAAAGAAATGTTTGGCAGTGGGACTGTGTTTTTTTATAGCAAGCAGAAAAAGCAAACACCAAGTCAATGAATACAACTACCAGCTTTAAACAATAAGGACAATAAGAGCTAGCTGGGTTGAAAGTAAAAAGTAACAACAAGAACTCTTTCTTCTGGAATGAGTGAAATACAACTCATTTCATCACATGAGCAAATTAAACAGCTTAATTTCTGAATGTGGAAAAGTTGAGGCTTGGACTTAAAAACTAAAGGTCTAACCAACAATTTGTCATGGTGAAGCTGGGAAATGTTTGCAGACAAGCTGTATTCTGAATTATTCTAAAGTTGTTTCAAGTGAGACCTTGAGATCACTAAAACATCACTTAGGTAAACTTGTTTTTCAAGTGAGCCCTAAGCACTTTGCAAATGCCAAAAATGACAGCAGACACCATGGAAGCAGCACAAAGATTACTAGAGTTGCTCTGCAAAGCAAGAAAGACAGTGAGGCTCAGATGGTGAAAAATCAGATCAGCTACCGCTCTCCAAAAAGCCAACAAGAAAAATTATAATCAACAAATTTTTATTACATAATACTCTTAATATTCCAAACAATTCAGTATTTTGTTAAAAAAAAAAAGTGGGAACCGAATCATGGTAAGTTTGCTATATTAACATATCACGAAGAAAGATGGAAACCTATGAGCTAAGTTATTGGCATCTTCATACGAATGCTCCACGTAGCATGCTTGCTTCCCTCTGGTGATCGATCATCTTTCAGCCAGGGCTGGAATATTAGGCTTTTCTCTCGTTTGGCTTTGCAGCCCAAAAAACATGACCATGGTGGTGTCAGCTGTGAACATGCTAATCTGCCGTGCACTACCCCATTATAGTGAGAGACTGTCACTTGGAGGCCCTGAGTGCTCTTTCCACTCCTCACATGCAGGCTGCTTCATGGTATTTGATGAATTAAAGTTAAGGAACCAGCAAGGAATCGTGTTACTCTTTAGCATTTGGCATTTTAAACACAATAAACTGCATCCATTCTGCACAGTGTCCTTCCCCTCTGGTGCTCCTTCATCTTCCATGGACATTTTATAAGCTGGGTGTGCTGTGAGTTCAGCTGTCTACTCTTTGACAGAGATTGTAAAATCTGACCAAATTTCCCACCCATGCCAAGGTGTAAGTCCACAAGCAACTGTCTGCACCAGAAGATCATTACTTTTTCAATAGCAAACCCATTGAATCTTAGAAGTTACTTTCAATTTTTATTTAGAAAGCACCGGTCTGTGAAAAACACACCAATAGTGGTTGCTCCTCTTCATTAATTAGCATCTTTTCCAAGCAACTGTTAAACATGAAAGATCAGATACAAATCATGCTACTTTGTCAACTTTATGTACATATGTAAAACTTTACCTAACTTTGAACTAAAATCAATACATCTTTGCTAAATAAACAAATTCCACATACTTTATATTAACCGTGCCAAATCTCTATGAAAGCGTGACTTACTGCCTATTCTACAGAAAGACCACTCATTCTCAGTTTCTGCAAAGAGTGAGCAGTTAAGGAATGATAGACTGCTTCTACACCACAAAGGTTGTCACAGGGTATAACTCATATCTACAACTCCTTTTCCAGAGAATGAACAGCTGCAAAGTAACAAAACAGCCACTGAAAATTCCCACATTCCAGGATCTAGACAGGCATGAGGTGTCTGTCAAAACTGTTTATTAGGGAGTCCATGGCCTAGAGCAAAATGGTCAAGGTCTAAAGAATGAGCAGCTTAACTGACACACATCCCTCATTGGGGTACTGGTGAGTCTAGTCACGTGTTTTTCTAGTGAAAAGCATCTGTTACTTTTTTTTGAAGACCTTGAAAACTGAACGTTTATCCTAATACTTTTCATGTCCCTACAACATCCAGCCTGGATTTTGTCTGAATGTGTTTTCATGAGCACAAGTTCCTGGTTTCAATTTTTAAAAATGTTAGTACTCTGTATTTAGAAAGATGTCCTCAGATACATTTCAATGATGCTTATCTTAATAAGAACCAGGCTGTGCTTTTTTGTTTGAAAGGAACATGACAGGAAATAAAAAGTTAACAGACAATATGATAGTTTTAAAAATCAAAAGCAAGCCGGGTTCGGTGGCTTAGCCTGTAATCCCACGCTTTGGGAGGCTGAGGTGAGTGGACTGCCTGAGCCCGCGGGTTCGAGACCAGCCTGGGCAGCTTGGTGAGACTTCATCTCTACAATAAATCAAAAAATTAGCTGGGTGTGGTAGCGCACGCCTGTAGTTCCAGCTACTTGGAAGGCTGAGGCGGCAGGATCGCCGGAGCCTAGTAGGTCAAGCCTAGTAGGTCAAGGCCGCTCCCGGCCACTGCACTCCTGTCTGGGCAACAGAGTGAGACTCCGACTCAAAAAAAAAAAAAAAAAAAAAATCAAAAGCATTTCTAAGAATTAAAGAAATAATCAATGAGCAACAGCACATCATTTCATTTTGCATTTCTTAAAGAAACAAGACATCTGCTTTCAGTGATAAGAGATTTTCTTGGGTGATTTCTACAAACATTAAAAAGGGCATCATAAAATTAAAGGTGATGTGCAGCAGATTGATTTACAATGGTACATTTCGGAAAGTCATCTCAGCAAAATTATTAGTCCAATTAATGAGACAAACTATAATCCATTAAATAAATATATTTTTGGAATGGCAGAGGAAGTAAAAATCCTGTATGTTATGGCAAAGGGGCTCTTGGTCTGTCTTATTTACAGTAGCAGAGCGTCCCAGACAGGGCCAGGAGGCACAGAATAAGGGTCTGTTTAAAGGGTGACAGATCTTCAGACATTCTTGTTCTCTTCTATTACAGGTATTGGAGCCATTTATTTCAAAGGTCTCAAAAATGATCTAGAACTCAACACCAAAAGAATCCTAGACTAAACCCCAGGCAAAGGTACACAGGAATTTACTTCCCTAGTAAGTAGAGAAGCATGGGCTGCTTTTCAGTTATTCCACTTTCCTTTAGGAAGCAGCACTGAAAAGGGTCCAGCCACAAATGAAAGGAACCAAGACCTCAGGTCTTGAAAATGAGTTGGAAACATTACTCTGCAAAAGACAGCTTAAAGACACAGATTATGTATATAGTTTTGTTTCTGTTTAAGGGAAGTATATAAAATCTTGTTTTTGAGAATTCAACAACTGAGGGAGCAATACCCACAAAATCATGGGTAAAGTTTGGAATTTTTCAGCTTCCTTTTCTTAGCTTCCTCATAAAAAATTACAGACACAATCCCTCTCTTATTAAAGGTATTCCTTATTGCTATTAGTCACACGCCTTTTAAGGATTAGCATAATCATACAGGCCGGGCATGGTAGCTCACGCCTGTAATACCAGTACTTTGGGAAGCTGAATTGGGAGGATTGCTTGAGACCAGGAGTTTGAGATCAGTTTAGGCAACACAGTGTGACCCTGTCTCTACAAAAAAAGTCAAAAAATTAGCCAAGTGTGGTAGCACGTGCCTATAGTCCCAGCTACTCAGGAGGCTGAGGTAGAAGAATCACCTAAGTCCAGGAGGTCAAGGCTGTGGTAAGCTATGATCATTCCACTGCAATCTATCTAGCCTGGATGAAGGGATGAGACCTTGACTCAAAAAACAAACAAACAAATATATGTGTATATATTATATATATTCATACAGTTCTGATTCTCTCGAAAGGTAGAGGTTGTTTCTTACTAGTATGCAGTTCTTGCTAGTACAAATGAAATTTTTTTCTTATTTATTGCCAACCTACTCTGTGGCAGGCCCTGCTCTAGGCTCTGAAAACATCACACATTAGTAGTAAGAACTGGTGAAAAATAAGGTGGGGATGTGGGCTAGGGCTGCCAGGCAACAACTCAGTTATGTAGAACAGGGAAAGCATCCCTTGCAGTGTGGTGTGGGGTTTGAATGCCAATTGGCACATACACCTGTCCAGGGTTTTTGTCTGCCCTGTCTCCATGGTGTGATTATCCTTCAGAACTAGCAACAGGAAGAAATCACATCCATGCAGAGTCATCCAGGTTCCAGGAAGCATAGAATAGTGCAAGTGTTACTAGAAGGGTCACAGATACTTCACTAACAGGATGCCAGAATTCTCTTACATGGGGAACTTACTCTGGATATATTCCTAATCAAAGTTATTTCATTTCAAATGTCCAAACACATCCTGCTTCCAAAGACAGCTTGGCCCAAAGATCTCTACGTCTGTTATAGTAACTAATTTTCTTCCCTCTAACCATAAGCATGGTGCCTGGGATTCTTCCTTATACTATGGAATTAAAGAGTCAACCATCCTAGCGTTTATTAACATGTTACCTTTTTCTGCATAATTCTCAGCTCGTCACTCAAGTTGTTATTCACCTTCATTAGCTGTTGTATCTTGGCCTCAGAAGCCACTAGAGCGTTTTTGACCTCCATAAATTCCTGTACAGTGACTGGTCCATCTGATAAATCTGAATCTAGGCTCTAAAAATAAATTGGGGAAAATGTTCACAATCTGAGATGACGATAACATTAAAGACTAACTTAAGCTAAAAAATTTCAAATTCTGACCAAGCCAGCTGGATGCAAAGTTAATCAAACCAAATCAAGGCCTCTGAGAATAATGTGAAATTAAAACATAAAAATAGGGTCACTATAATATTACAAAAATTTAAAGTTAATATTTTCTAATAGAATAGGATGTGGGACCTACAAATCTACACTGACAATAACTGTATAAGGAGTTTGTTCTCTCTTGTCTTTCTTTTGCTCATTCATTTTTCTTTTTTATTCATTCTTTCATTAATTAATTCATTCTAGCATTTTTACTGGGCATCAGACAGTGTTCTAGGTGCTTGGGATTATCAGAAAAGAGACAAAGACTTCTGCTTCCATGGTGTTTACATCCCAGCAGCATGAAAGAGGACAAAAATGAAAATAGGTAAATATATTTTCAGAGGTAACTGGTGCCATAGAAAAAGATAAGATGGAGCAGGGTAGGGAGCTGAAGGATTGAGGCAGAGTAAATGTGTGTTAATGAGGGAGCTGGGGTGAGACCATGAGTGGTGAAAGCTGAGCAAGAGACCAGGAGGTGAGGTGATCAGTCGGACAGATCCAGAGAAAGAAAATTCCAGCTGGGGTGGAGCGTAACTAAAGATGCAGGTGTGGGGGTGGACAGGCAGGAGCCAGGCAGTTGACAGAGTGCCTGGTCATGGAGGGTCCTAGAATGACCTTGGCTTTCACTGAGTGAAAAGGGCAGCTTCTGGGGAGTCTGGGCAGGGGCATTCCCCTGCATCTGCTAACAGCACCACAATTTTCGCAGTCATGTCAGCTGGAAAACT